CCATAATAGAATTTAATTAAATACATCATTATTTCAAGTCACCCACAATTGCAAGACGCAAGTTCATTCCACTTTCTAAAGGTAGATCATAAAATCTTATCTTTCTAGATAAATTTAATCATGAAATAAGAAAGGACTCATGACAAATTGAAAACTTGACTCTTCACAACCAAATAACTCACCATCTCCAGAATATATATATCACATAAACTTTAAATCGAGCCAAAAAAAAAAGTCTACAGACCAAATCAATTATGATATGCAAGGCCAAAATATTAAGAACAAGGTTATTGCCATTGTCTTGCTGCTGCAAAAGTGATCACCACCCAAAGCTTTTTCTGCAATGATTTTGCAAAATGGATGAGCAGAAAACAGTACATAAAAATAAAGAGGACAATGAAAAAAGAGCTCCAATATAAGGAATAATAGCCAACAAAAGTGCTGCTCTGACACCAATATGCCCACATTTTTTTTTTTGTTGGGAGAGAGAGGGGGGATGAATTGTCTTGTTCATTGTCATTCACAGAATTAGCTGACTATGTTGTAGCTGTTGTCAAAGCAAAACTTTTCCATCCCCAAGTCTGCACTTAAAGCATACAACAACAATGAATAACCCTTGCTGGTCCCCAAATTAGTCTCACTCTAACCATTTTAAACAGTTTAAGATTATTTTGTAGCTGCCAACCATCCCAGGGTACATAATATTCAATGTACCTGCAATATGCAAAATTTATTTGAAATCATTATGGTACAATAAGAGAAAATGATATCAGAACCTCATTTAAAAACCCCAGTATTATCATACCAGAGCTTCCTTCAAAGTGGTTGAAGTTGATCAGGGAAGAATCAAGATTTAACCCTCTCCCCCTCTGTAGAAATTACAAACCTCCATGTAATCATCACAAAAATCTATGGGGGTAATCATTGGTAGTATATTAGAGCATTGGTCACTATTTACAGTCCAACCATTAGTTCTTCCATTCAGGAGACCTGTGGTGTAGTTACTGTTTCGGAACTAGAAACCAGATTTGTGGACTTAACCCCAAATTTTCAAATAAATCGTTCTATCATCTTATTTCTTGATTCTTATCAAATATTTCTAGGCTTTTCGTATAGAAGTTAAGTACTTGGATTACTAATAGAATTCATATTTGAAAATTTGAATCGTTAAGGACCCTATGCTGTAAAATACTAGCATCAGTGGCCCAAATATTCTGGAAAAATAGAAAAGAAAAGAAAAGAAAGAAAGGAAAGGGAGTTCTGGAGATTTATGAAGAGGTGTGAGAAATGCAATTGAATAGAAATTTTGTTGATGGAAGATTTTCTTGATGTTTACAGAGTTAATGGTGGAGTAATGGTTCAGAGGGGCATGCGAATTACAAACAGTTAAAAGAAAAGTCGGATCTTTTCCATGTTATCCATTTTTTATTTGTGGGACAAAGATTCCATTGTTTCTTCACGGGAGCACTTGGTCAATTTAAGGGTGTATAGATAGCAGATTCATGGCTCAAGCGGGAGGGCATGAAAGGAAAGATGGTTTGTGCGAGAGGGGATTGCGATAATATTTAGTTCTAATGAAAATATTGGGGTTATATGAGATCCTCTAGATTCCAGAACCACGCCGGCATGCACGTCACATTACAGTTTGATAAGCCAAGTAGATAAAGAAGGCAAATTTTCAAATCAATTGCTACAAGGATGGGAATGTACGCTATGAAAGATATGGTGGTAAAGTCTGATACATGAACCTGCTGCTCCATTTGTCAAAAAAGAGGTGGGTGCAGCACCTACGGATGAAAAATATGATCAACTTTGCAAGACCAGATGGAGGAAATAATATTTTTTTGTCCAAAAGAAAATGTAATTGGTAGTTTAATAGGACTATTTCAATCATTTATTTATTCAGCTATTATTGATTATGATTTTTTTATAGGAGTATTTTAGTAAGAATTTTATTAGGAAAATAATTACGGTCGAGAATTTTGTATTAGTGTGTTTCTTGGCCTAATCCCTCCTTTTCTTTCATTCTCTTTTCTCTTCTGTGTTGCTTATTTCCAATCCTGCATCAATCGGTGTCAAAGCCTAGCGTTGATCAATTTTTGGTCATCGTGCTTCCACAACCTTGATGTTTGTCGCCTTCTTCCGTTCTTCTTCAAATAAGGTTGCTTTAATCTATTTGTGGATTCAAAAATATCTGATTCCTGATCTCATTATCTTCGTTGTATTTATCATCACCAGACACTTTCATCATNGTTGCTTTAATCTATTTGTGGATTCAAAAATATCTGATTCCTGATCTCATTATCTTTGTTGTATTTATCATAACCAGACACTTTCATCGTGATCAGAGTGGTGAAAAACACTCCTAGGTGCAAGTGCCTAAATTGGCCTGAGACAAGGCAGATGTTTAGAAGGACATAAGATCTAAATAGAAATTAACTTTGAATGATTTATAGTCAAAAAGAATATGACAACTTCTTATTTAACAAAAAAGAATAGAATTCAATAGAGGAACATGATACGTATGAGCTGGGGTTAGGCAATAGGATTAACAATTCTTTCTCTTCACCTAATTCTTCCATAATCTTCTTCATCCACAAACTACAAAACCTCACAAAACTAACATCAGCAGTAGACACTACATGTTGGACTAAAAAAAGTCACTCCTTTGCTACAACCGATTTCAGTAAGATAAGTAAGGCACCAAAAAGTTAACACGAGTGGGCGAGTGCGAATGCATGTATGTGTATCAGTGTGAGTGTATCGATGAGTACCTCAAATAGTGTGTGTGAGAGAGAGAGAGACATATAGACTGCAATGCAATGATGACTAACCTGTACAGCGAGTTTCCGCAACAGGGGAAGGGCACGCAGAAGACGAGCCATAATTTTTACAAGATCATTCCCAGTGTCAAAATAGATAAACAAGGTTTAAAAGACAAAAATACCTTCAGATTATTCAAAAATAAAAGACAATAGTATCACTACTTAGGACAATAGTATCTCCAGCGCAACCACTCACAACAGGAGAGACAAATGCAATTGGCCATAATATAAATCCCATGAAAAAAAAATATCAACCTATCAATTATGTATTACAATATAATTCTGACGTTCAGAAAGAAACCGATTCTTAAAAGTCATAAGCAATGTTTGCTGACTTCAATATGCAGTATTCTTAAGGATCATAAGACATCCGATCCAGCACAACCAGAGAAATATGCACTTCAACCATTACAACTTTAATAGCACACGGATCAAACGAGAAGAAACTTGAGTACAATGCAAAAGACATCCAAATGGTGAAACAGACACCAGAAAACCATTATATTTAAAGAAAAAAGAAGAATAACAAGGAGTAGGGGGCGGGGGAGATGCAAAAATCAAATGTATACATTTACGGTGTTGGTGTATCAGATATATATCAATAAAAGTGGAATAATCAAATTGGTACAGGTATCAAGGTTGAGTATAGAGCATAAAAAAGCATCTCCTTTAAAATAATCTGACCGTTTCAAATTTAATGGCAGTTGTTCAACTGCAAACTATAATTGCTCAATCTACGATAGTAAGCTAAAAGTAGTCGAATTTGACCCGTTAATTTTCCTCCTTTTCTTGTTTTTTNTTGTTCAACAAAAATGAATTATTTGAAAATATTTAAAATGACTTATGCTTTGTGTCAACCTTTACTTTTGTTCTCCGATTTCAGCTCATCTATTAAGCACTGATGTTTAGACAATAAACATGCTAAATATAGATATTCCAATTCACGTTTCCACACGCTTTTAAATTTTTTCCCTTTTCCAAAAGGTAGCCATTTCCAAACTAATTGAAATCAATCATGGAAGCCAAATTTTGATCCCTTCTTTCAAGTACTTTTAACTAAGCATTTAAATCATCAGCTTTTATTCATAGAGCATCTGCCAAACATTCATACGTCCCATAAGCAAAATTCTAAATGTAGCTTCATTAAACTGGACCAAAAGAACAAAGGCAAAGAAAATTGCAAGTTCACCATAATAGTAAATGTCCGACAGAAGCTGTCATCAAATTGAATATGCCAAATTCACACAAAATAACATTGTCATAAGTGACGTGTTCAGTAAAATACCTTTCCATATATTTCTTTACTCCTACGTAGATATTCAAGGCTTCTTTCCCAGAATCCATAAGTAGCATAGAAAGCCAATATGCAGAGCTCAAGAATCATTATTCTGGTTTTTTAGGGAAAAAAATCACTCATTTAGTCAACAAAAAATGAAGCCGAAGAAAAACATCCTTAGATTAACAAGGTTTATAAGACAAAAATACCTCCAGATTATTCAAAGATAAAAGACAATAGTATCACAACTTAGGACAATAGTATCTCCAGCGCAACCACTCACAACAGGAGAGACAAATGCAATTGGACATATTATAAATCCCATGAAAAAAAATATCAACCTATCAATTATGTATTACAATATAATTATGATGTTCAGAAAGAATGTGACGCCTCTAAAAACTGGGGGTCCTTTGTCAACTCGTTGATCACCCATCAACCCGCAGAAATACCCGTGAATGCCGCACAAACCGACATTACGTCAATAACATCCTCTTCACCGGGATCATAACCCACATGGATAACCTGTATACATTTCACCATTTATCAATCCATTGTCCGACATACATCAATTTACACTTATAATTTTCCTTAAACCTCCTTTGAACACAAGGGGCATGTATTGGAAATGTAATACATTTCTAATACCAATGGAAATTAGTACCCGTAATAGAAAGTATTTCAGTCCTCTCCTATGTTTGTTTGTTCAATAGATACTATGGTGGGTCCCACAAACAATCATCTATTCTATCACATCTTGTATAACAAATATACCATTTTACCCTCAACATCATCCATTCCATTACTTCGTTTATGTAATGTTTTTACACAATATTTGGTATAATACATGATATGACAATCCATACCCAAAAATAGTCAAATCATGTAAAAAATTCCACATGAAAATTCAAGAGTCATTTACACACATTTTACCAATGAGAAAAAAAAAAAAAANACTTAAAGCATACAACAACAATGAATAACCCTTGCTGGTCCCCAAATTAGTCTCAGTCTAACCATTTTAAACAGTTTTACGATTATTTTGCAGCTGCCAACCATCCCAGGGTACATAATACTCAATGTACCTGCAATATGCAAAATTTATTTGAAATCATTATAGTACAATAAGAGAAAATGATATCAGAACCTCATTTAAAAACCCCAGTATTATCATACCAGAGCTTCCTTCAAAGTGGTTGAAGTTGATCAGGGAAGAATCAAGATTTAACCCTCTCCCCCTCTGTAGAAATTACAAACCTCCGTGTAATCATCACAAAAATCTATGGGGGTAATCATTGGTAGTATATTAGAGCATTGGTCACTATTTGCAGTCCAACCATTAGTTCTTCCATTCAGGAGACCTGTGGTGTAGCTACTGTTTTGGAACTAGAAACCAGATTTGTGGACTTAACCCCAAATTTTCAAATAAATCGTTCTATCATCTTATTTCTTGATTCTTATCAAATTTTTCTAGGCTTTTCGTATAGAAGTTAAGTACTTGGATTACTAATAGAATTCATATTTGAAAATTTGAATCCTTAAGGACCCTATGCTGTAAAATACTAGCATCAGTGGCCCAAATATTCTGGAAAAATAGAAAAGAAAAGAAAAGAAAAGAAAGAAAGGAAAGGGAGTTCAGGAGATTTATGAAGAGGTGTGAGAAATGCAATTGAATAGAAATTTTGTTGATGGAAAATTTTCTTGATGTTTACAGAGTTAATGGTGGAGTAATGGTTCAGAGGGGCATGCGAATTACAAACAGTTAAAAGAAAAGTCGGATCTTTTCCATGT